GAATGTGAATAGCGTTTATTGGTTTCCGTGCGAGAAGATATTGAATCAGAGTCGATTTCCCTTTCCGAGACGATTGTCCAGGGCACTCCTCTCGTTGCCTCAGCCAGCATCGGAATCCTCGTCCTTGACATTTCGAGAAACATACAGTACAGTATTCAACGCAGAGCGGCCCCAGTCGTCGACAGCGAATTTCTTCCCGATCGGCTTGATCCAACTGGCCTTGCAAAGAGACGTTGCATCTCCTACCGCATATGCCACAAGGAGTGTTCAGAGGAATTGTTATGATTAATTCCAGCTGCTGAATTTCACCATTTTACACTGCAATAGAACTCTAAATTCTATTATCATCATCTCGATGGCTAGCAATCATCATCTCGATGGATGTGGAATTTACGTCCCCACGCACCCCTTTGTAACTTTGCGCCCCTAGGCACGTGCCTAGTCTGCCTTTAGGATAATCCGCTACTGTTGACAGCACTCTTGAGAGAACCCTAAAAAAGGCGACCGATCAGACCCGTCCAACTATAGGCCTATCGCGATCACCTCCTTGTTCTCCAAAATAATGGAATCCATTATTAACTGCCAGCTCATGCGGTACCTTGAGGATCACCAGCTGATTAGTGACCGCCAATACGGTTTTCGTCGGGGTCCATCAGCTGGTGATCTTCTGGTCTACCTGACCCATAGATGGGCAGAGGCAGTAGAGTCCAAGGGGGAGGGAGGCGTTGGCCGTTAGTTTGGACATTGCGAAGGCCTTCGATCGGGTTTGGCACAAAGCGCTTCTTTCGAAGCTCCCTTCCTATGGGCTTCCCGAGAAATTGTGCGATTGGATCACCAGCTTCCTTGCTGATCGGAGCATCAAGGTCATTGTAGACGGTGCATGCTCCGACTACAAGCCTGCTGTTTCTTCTGCATATCAATGATATGTTGCTAACTGGTAACATTCATTGCTATGCGGATGACAGCACTGGTGATGCTCTATACACTGGCCGTGCCAATATTTCTCGGGAAAACGTCGCCGAGTACCGGAACAAACTTGTGTCTGAAGTCGAGTCTGAACAAAGTCTCGCATTGGGGGCGACTAAATCTAGTCCAGTTTCATCCTCAGAAGACACAAGTTTGCGCGCCAAAAGGAACCCCTTTGTCGTATCTCCTCAGTTTCAAGGCACACATCGAGTGACATGCAGTTTCGTGGTCACTTGGAAGAGAAGGCCAAATTGGCCTCTAAAAAGCTTGGCGTGCTCAGCAGAGCGGAACAGTATTTCATGCCGGCACACCGCTTGCAACTTTACAAGGCGCAGGTTCGGCCTTACATGGAATACTGTTCCCATCTCTGGGCAGGGGCTCCCCAGTGCCAGCTCCTTCCACTTGACCGCATCCAGCGCCGAGCGGCTCGAATCGTCGACGACCGAGTCCTTTCCGATCGGCTCGATTCATTGGCACTGCGAAGAGATGTTGCATCCCTTTGCATTTTCTTTCGCATCTACCACGGGGACTGCTCTGAGGAATTGTTCGGATTAATCCCAGCCGCCAAATTTCACGAACGCACATCGCGGCAGAACTCCCGATACCATCCACACCATAGGCGGTCCACCACTGTGCGATTTAGAAGATGTTTTCTTCCTCGCACGACTTCCTTGTGGAATCGATTACCATCAGCGATTTTTCCGGACCGATACGACTTAGGGACCTTCAAGAAAAGAGCGTACTCCTTTTTAAAAGGCCGGCAACGCATCTGCGATTCCCTCCCTGGTGTTGCCGCTGTTCATGGGCGGCGATAGTCACTTACCATCAGGTGAGCCGCATGCTCGTTTGCCCCCTCTCCTATAAAAAAAAAAATAATAGACGGCTTAGCGACACCCTATCATAAGACATTTATAAAGATATGTCAGAAGTGTTTTGGAATATGCTAGTTCAATATGGTCTCCACAGTACAATGTCTACAAAAGCCGCCTTGAGCGTATTCAAAAATATTTATTAATCACCTTAACTTTCGCTGTCGGAATAAAATCGATACTTACACAGACAGTTGCACTGAGCACAATCTCTTATCTCTGGAACACAGGCGCATTTTGCTTGACATGGCTTTGTTATATGATATAATAAACAGTAATATTGACTGTCCATATCTTGTCTCAAGAATCACCTTTCGTACTCCAAAATTCCGTACCCGCAATACTACATTGTTACAGACTCCCTGGCATCATTCAAACTACTGTCGAAACACTGTTCTTTCGCGGCTTGCTCGTACATATAATGAACAATTTGGACACATTGACCTCTTTGCGAAATCTAATCTTACGTTTAAAGATTACATCAAGAAAACTATTACGAAATAGAGCAGTTGAAGTTAAATTCACATACAATCATATATTCTCTCATCTATTTCTTCTATATGTATTTTTGAGGCTACTAATATAAATATAAGTACTTAAGTTATTTTATTTAATATATATTATAATTAATTATTTGTATTATGTTTATATATATATATATATATATATATATATATATATATATATATATATATATATATATATATATAAAGGTAACGTAATATATCATTCTACCTGACTATCTCTCCTGATCTGTAAACTTATGACCACCTTCATTACATTGAATTGCTTATAATTTTGCTTATAATTTATCTATTAGATTGTTCTTTTTTCTTTTCTTCTAACAACAATACACCTACCATCAAACAATATAAGGGAAACCTGTTATTGGCCATACTTTAAGTTTGTTACATTAATGTTAATATTTTCTATATACGCTGTTGGTTTTCTAAATAAATAAATAAATAAATAAATAAATAAATAAAATTAAATTGTCCATCAATCGAACAGCCAACTCCGGTGACGTTAAGCTACTAATCAACTGGTTTTATACAAATTAAAGAACGCATGTGAAGTTAATCCCCTCGTCTCACTCCGCACTCCAAACTGCATTCATTGGGAAGCGCATCTGCCTATCTTACCTGGTTACTTTGATGTCCATATCAGAATTTAAACAAATTTAAGCTCATCTGGAAATTACGTGTAATTTCTTCCGAAGTTTTGTAGTATTTTTAAAGAATAAAACAAAATATCAGCTACACGATTGCTTTATTTTAATATAAATTATACAAGCACTGCACTTATGTTATTGCATATTACGAATTTTGTATTCAATATCAATTGTATTTAGGAGAATGTTAAAGGAATAATTTGTTAGCTAATTGCAATTTAAAAAGTTATTGGTCAAAACCACTGGAATGTGATTGGATTAAAATAATTGACTACTAATTTAATGATTAATAATTTATTATTAATAATAATTTTACCATTTATAATAACAAATTGAAAATTTTAAAAATCCTACCGCGGCTTACAAAACAGCTTATGACCTTGAAACGGCTGAACCGATTTTGATAAAACGTGTCTAAGAACCACCGCTAGAAAACAAGGTCTTAAATAAATAAATAAAAAAAAGAAACAAAATCGGTTCACCCTTTTAAAGAGCTACGGTGCCACAGAAAGACACACACACAGCGGTCAAACTTATAACACCTCTCTTTTTGCGTCGGGGGTTGAAAAAGGCTAGCATCGGTGACTTGCTAGCCTCTGCAATTTACAAGCTTTTCTGATTCATAAATTTCCTAAAAAAGAAACAAATTATAAATATATAATAGCAAAAGAAACTCTATGTTTTACATTAGAACATTTTCTGCACTTATTTTTATAGAATATAATAAGTAGATTGCACACAGCTTAAAGTATTTGAAAATAATACAACTGTAAAGTTTCATAAATCACAATCAAAATTAATGTTCCAACTCTCACAGTGAAATATATACAAACATGACCAAGAAAATTAAAGTGGTTTATTTTTAATAGATACTGACAATTTTGAAATATTGGGAATACAATAAATTGTAATGGTTTTTTTTTTGTTCATTGTATTTATAGCCATTACGTATAGAAATATACAGATATTGTCTGTATATTTCTTTTACCATAAATCAAAGAAATACAAACAAGGCCAAACCTGTGGATATACGAAGTTGTGTGTGTGTGTGCATTGCACCTAACTAAGAGTACATATAATTCTTTACTGGGCTATGTATACTACAGTGTTCTTAAAATCGAAGACAAATAGAATTATATACCTTCATAAACTGGAGTGTGAAATTTTATTCCAAAAATTATATCGTCGTACCATAAACCTATCCCTGAGTTAAATTATTTTCTTTAAAGAAAATAATATTTTAATATTTATAGCAGAGCGTTTATTTCATGGTAGGTTTTAGGGGTAAATGGCATCTATTCGTATTATTTTTTGTTTAAAACTAAAATTCGCTGCAGGAGTTCATAGGCAACAGCAACCACTTAGCATGAGTAGACTGCAATAATATTATAAAAATGAATAAAATATAAATCATTTGGTCATCATAAACATAGAACACATTTTCAGGAATCCAAATTTATGTAATTTTTGCTACAAAAGTTTCAGGCTCCATTTTTAACACACATATCTCCACAATATAAATAATATTTTCTGCTCGTAAGCACAAATAATTTACTAGTAAGAGGCAATTTCTATCTAGACAAGTGTGATATGTTTAAGAAAAACGTAACTGTGCAGTTATCTCTCTCTCTAACTTTTAACAAAAAGTAAAAACCGACTAAAAATTGCAAAAAAAGATGTTATTTATTTGCTACCTTTAGGTGTGGAATTTTGATTCCAAATGTATATGTGACCACTCTTGAATTATAACCTATTTAATTAAAAAAAAAGAATCATCAAAATTGATTTACAATCTGCGAAAATATCGCGTAACATACACATAAAAAACATTCAGTCGGTTTAAAAATGTTAAATTCTATTAGTATTTTAAACAAAGACAAAAAACATAGTTTATTTTTTTAAATAAATATACACACCCGTCATACATAGATGCCTTTATTAGTATTTAATATAATATCAAGCACAATATACCTTAAATATATAAACTATTGGAATCACACTGCGGCTAGTTTTGAGATCCTTTCGTCTAACTTTTTGATCTCTTTCTGTAGACTATCCACATTGTGTGCAAACACCTCCTGGACACCTTGAAGCAATTCCTTGTTGTTTTGGACACCACTCGCCACTGTACTTTGGAGTGTTTCCAGTTCTGTGAGGGACTTCCCAAAGTTGCTCGCTGAAAATAGTATATGTTGTATAAATATCAATTTACAATCATGCAAAAATCAATATACAATATACATACATAAACTAGCACACCTGTCACCCAGTGGGGCAAGCAGAGAATAGAGACCATTTGGTACAATTTCTAACACACCATACATGCCTATGGGTTAACTTCAATATATCGCCAGTTGGGTCGATAAACTAATCTTTAGGATGACCCTTGCCAACTCTGTCATTCACTTCTGCGGTATTGATTTGCTTTGACACTTAAAGTGAGATCTCCCACTGTGGCCGCTTGAAGGAAAAGGGGAAATCTGCCGCCGGGCAAGGTGATCGGCCCGGGGAGCGGCCAGCGCTCCGAGTGGTAGTTCGGAGGAGCTATTCTATATATTATGCTGCTTTTACTTCGGACTTTTATAGCGCGATTTAGGCTTCGATGTATTTTCGCTTGTAGAGCGACGATAGCGCCGCCACAGTGGTCATATACTCATGAGTTGCGCAGTACTGATCCTACGTCGTCTATTAGATCGTACATTAGCTCCAAACCCATATTTGTACAAAAGTACATGTGTTCTGTTTAGATATGTAACAATGGACTGGAAAGTACATTTAAAGTTTTTAAGTAAATTATATTCAAATCGATTCGATCGAAAAAGAGTTATTTTTAACGTTTTACTTCAAACGATCAAGGGCATTTTCATTGCTCGTTAAAGTAAGACGATAACAAGTGGTGATAACTCAAAAACTACTGGTCAGACCTTGATCAAATTCATATGGCACCACATGGGAAGCACCAGCTTTCAAATAAAGAAAGAATCATCGAAGTTGGTATTCAAATCATTAGACTTATCTGGAGTTGGAGTTATTTTTAACGTTTTACTTCAAACGATCAAGGGCATTTTCATTGCTCGTTAAAGTAAGACGATAACAAGTGGTGATAACGCAAAAACTACTGGTCAGACCTTGATCAAATTCATATGGCACCACATGGGAAGCACCAGCTTTCAAATAAAGAAAGAATCATCGAAGTTGGTTTATCGAGAAAAAAGTTATGAGGTAACACACACACAAAAACATAAAATCGAATTGAGTACCTCCTACTTTTAGAAGTCGTTTGAAAAAACCCCAACTCCATAAAAATCCTGTAATTTGTTTTTAAATCCATTAAAACAAACCTTGATTATGCAGAGCTTCCAGCGCCTCCATCCGCTCCAGAATCTCGGAGTGCGATATACCTTCGATTTGTTTCAGCAGTTTGTGCAGTTCATTCACCTGTCGAATACACAGTCAGAATTAAATAGAAATATTGGGAAGCTGTTCAGAATATCCACATTCCCATCTCATTGTAAATTTGTGAACCGTAGTCTATTGATCACAGGACTTGGCCAATAAGCAGTGAGTTTCAATAATCGGCCAGAAAAACATTTGTTCATATTTTTTACAGTTCATGTTGTGTTGCGATTGTCTCAATGGTGTCGAAATTAACTAACTCTGATCTTATGCAATAACATATTGTTGTGCACTACTATTAATGTCTTGTATATGGCAACACTAGTTACCACTAGCGCCCTCTAGTATCGAGTAGCAGAACTAGGAGAGTCGAGATCTACCTTCGGGAAAGAGATAAGGGAGGTGAAAGATATGGTTGCTCAACATGAAAACCGCCTTTCGGAAGCTGAAACCCGAATCGACCAAGTGAACAATCGGGTTGATAACGTGATGGCTGATGTGAAGAAAACGCTGGACGACCTCAAACTTGGGGATGGAATTAAAGCTCCCGTGGTAGCTACAATACTTTCGCTACGTGGGTTCAAAGTGCCACCGTTCGACGGGACTTCTTCCTTGGTCGGCCTATACAATCCAGTTCGAGGCTGTCATGAAAGCGAACGGTTGGAATAAAAGTCAGGCCATGACTGTTCTCACCCTAGGCCTGCGCGACCAGGCCTTAACTGTTCTGGAAGCTCTCGTTAAGGAAGTGACTTACGAGCAGCTCCTTGAGGCATTGGAGGCGAGATATGGCGACGCTCACCTGGAACACGTCTTTCGTGCGCAGTAACGAAAACTCCTTGAGGTGGAGAAGCTGGTTCGAAAAGCATATCAGTCTGTACCTGCGCTCATTGTAGGGAACCTGGTGCACACATTCATCGACGGCATCCGCGACCTTGAAGTCAGAGCTGCTGTGAGGTTCGGGCAACACGAGACGCTTAAGGACGCCTTGACCCATGCACTGGAGATGGAAGCCGTGCGGCAGGATCATCGTTCCCATCGCGTCAGGGAGGCTGCAGCAGCTACAGTTCGCGACCGCAATAAAGGATACAGCCCTAGTTGCTACGGCTGTGGGGAAAGGGGCCATCTTCGATCCAGCTGCCCAACTGTAGAAAGGGGAGGTGACCGATCTCGAGAGGGTAGTGCGGCTAACAGCACCGTCCAACAGCTGCAGGGAAACTGGCGGGGGCTTGCGAGTTATTATGGGGCCAATGATGCTCGGTACGAGCATGTCTTAGGAGGGGGCAGTGTTGTGCGCCACTATTAATGTCTTGTACATGGCAACACTAGTTACCACTAGCGCCCTCTAGTATCGAGTAGCAGAACTAGGAGAGTTAAGATCCTTCTAGAAATATCGGGACCGATATGTACTCGAACATTCTAGATGTTCCTATAGTAGAAGGTTCTGGAAACCTGAGGTCCTATATAAGGCCGGTATAGACCACGACCGAGGCAGTATTGAATTGGCGATACAAGCGAATACTTCAAAGCGATACAACTGCGAACTTAAGTGATCAGTAGAACAATTGTGTTTTATTATTAGGTGATCTTAAGTTGTAATTAGTGTTCTGTAATTAAAGTGTCAATTTTTGTAATTCACTCGGCAGTTTTAGTTGTCTCGAACCCCAAGGTCGTAACAATATAATAAAACTTCGTGTAACAGTGTGTCTACTTTGTGTTAATGTTACATATTTTAAAACAGGACCTGGTGTAACGGTGTGTCTACTTTGTGTTAATGTTACACATTTCAATACAGGGCCCCGTAGTGTATGAACCTTGCGTCGATGTCACATACATATTTTACAGTTCCATAGCGCAATGGCTTAGCATTGAATTGTGGTGTTGAAGACAGAAAGTTTGAATTTTTTCACAGAACAAGCATTAGTATGACATATAAACAATACCGTGTAGTGGCGGTGTAGGAATATCTACTATCCCATATCATTACGTGGGCGTTGTAAGAGGCGACAGATTTGATGGTAAGTGGATGATATGGCCCATAGGCATCTACATTTATCCTCGACTATAGTCTTTGCGTTATAGCATGGTGCGGGTGACAGTTCACGCCTATGAAGTTTCGCATTTTTTTAGATAAACTGTCATAGAGATATTGTTGTACTTCATGGATGGGTACCGCCCACTTACGACAGTGATGTGCCACGCTAAACTATGCCATACCATAATGAACAACCACAGACTATCAAAAATCGGTTTTGAAATAAATCGAATATATGAAAATCACGTAAATATGTATTGGAATTGGAACTAACCGTTCAACAAATTCTGATTTACGGAAACAAAACTCACATAGACGAATATGCAGTGTTTCTGATGCATGGACGATTAATTATCCGTCGGTCAGATCAGGCAAAAAAATAATAGTTTTAAATTAATGCCGACATGAGTTGATAACTCATGCCGGCCAAAATGACTACAAAAAACCTATTTTTTATTTTTATTTCATTAGGTTTATAAACCCAATTCTTGATTATTTTTATCTTCTGTCCAGATATTTTGCTCATTGGACCTGGCAAAACTAATACACATATAGCAAAAGGCGCTAGCACTCGTACCTTGAAAAGCTGCCGGTGCAGTCAACGCCGTACTGAAAATGCTGGCAGCCATTTGTATTTGTTTAAATGTCAATATGAATGTTGCAATCAATATGAAATAGAAGATGATTTTTATTTTCAAATTAATACATAGTATAATCTATACATTGAAGTGTCTGTTTTTAATATCAAAATAATAGCCTTTTACTAAATACATATGAAATGATATACGGTATTTACAACAAAAGACAAAAACAATTTTTACAATGTTTGTCTTACTGTCTGTTTGTTCCGGCTCATAGCTGACACTGACAGATAGCTGATGTTATAAGGACACACGGGTAACACAGGCTTATTTTATTTTAGAAAAAAAATTAGGATTCCGCGCAAAAAAATTAAAACTCATGAAATCCAATCGTAATAAATACCAAGCGGGCGAGGTCCGAGAACAGCTGTTATGTCATAATTTGTATTAAAATTTTACTTAATTTTATATGCATTGTAGTTTATAGAGAAATATATGTTTCGTTTTTCATTTTTATATCGATAGCTCATCGATAATTCGTTAATCGCCTTTTTTAAATCGATGTAACAATGTTCCATCTCTAGACACGCCAAAAGTGTAAACTGTCACCCCGCACCATGCTATAACGCAAAGACTATAAGAATCAATATGTTGATACGTTGTCTCACCCCTTAGGACTAAAATGGAATGCCTCGTTTTCAGTAAAAAGGGTCTCGTAGGGAATCGTGAAGCAGTACCTTTGCGTCGGTGTCCGGGTTGGCGGGCTGCACGGCAGCGCGCAGCGTGTCGAGGTTGGCGAGGCGCGCGTCCGCGGCCTTCAGCTCGGCCGGCGCAGTTACAGGGCTGTATGGTGCAGGAACTTTGCCTGTATTGTTTATGGAATCGTAACGCGATACCTTTGCGTCGGTGTCCGGGTTGGCGGGCTGCACGGCGGCGCGCAGCGTGTCGAGGTTGGCGAGCAGTGCGGCGAGGCGCGCGTCCGCGGCCGCCAGCTCGGCCGGCGCAGTTACTGGGCTGTATGGTGCAGGACCTTTGCCTGTATTGTTTATGGAATCGTAACGCGATACCTTTGCGTCGGTGTCCGGGTTGGCGGGCTGCACGGCGGCGCGTAGCGTGTCGAGGTTGGCGAGCAGCGCTGCGAGGCGCGCGTCCGCGGCCGCCAGCTCGGCCGGCCGCAGCAGCGCCGCGCGCGCCGCCAGCTGAGCCGCCGCGCCCATCAGCGTCGCCTGACGCACAAGTCACAACCGAACATTAACTACTACACGTGTCAATCGCGAATGATTTGCTCATTTGACCCGGGTCACATCAACATATTGACGATTGCAATCACATTGTTTGAACGTTCCGGATCTAACTATTGACAGGACCAACAGGACATTATAGAGCGAGAGTCACAGATCACAGAGTACTGAAACTCGAAAGGATGCTCGGAAGGCTCATCTTACGAACCCGAATGACCCGGTTCGTAAGATGAAGATAAGATCACTAGAAATAAATCAATGACACATGTCTAGCTAGTGTTGTAGAACAATGGAACAGCGACAGTGACGTTGCGGTGGTGCGCACTCAGCACATTAATTTCGCCACCACGCCATTCACGCTAAGAAACCCACCAGCCGATACAATAATAATTGTAAATACCAGGCATTAAAGTCACTAGTGACCCTTACAACTAGTGCTCTCCTATTCGAACTTAATTCATTAAAATTATAAGAGAAGCTTATACAACTAGACCGGCAATTCAAACACAAACTGTGGCACGGTAAATATGCCACACAGTTGCATTTTCATTTACGACAGTTACTATTTTTTAGGCAAATACGAAATAAAGTTACATTGTTCATGCCCTCAGTTGCCCCGACAAGGGTCGACTTTCCTGGGGCCCATCAGCGGAACACTCGACGAGCAACCAAGGGTGGAGCCCAATGGCCTATGGACAATTATTCCTAAACGGCTGATAATCAAACAAAACTTACCGATCTCCGGAGGTAGGGTTGACCATAGGGTACCAGTCAGGTGATAATTGAGGTGTATGTAAAGTGGTGTGCGAAAGTGTGTATAAATGGAACTTGACTCCCCCGAGGTAGTCGGAACGCAGATCCACAGGCGCTGCTTATCTCCAAATGTGCGATCCCCAATTGAAAACTTCTGCTTCGATTTCACTATTTCAGTTTATCAACTTTATCGTACACTATTTCAATCTATCAACTTTATTGTACATTTAATTAACTTCAAATTCAACAAAATCAACGTTCATCGAATTAAAACAAGTGACACACGACGCAAGTAAAGAACAGTCGATCAAAGTTCAATATTCAATGTTCCAGGTTCACTTAGCACAACATTATAAACACGAGAGCGAACGCGGTCTCTTCTCGAGTCACAAAGTTCAGCGTTCCACACGACAAACAAAATTCTTTCGTACGATGTTAAAATGCCACAAACAAAATAAATATTACCAAATGCACTTCAACATGCAATCACTATACAAATTGGCGTAAATTACTGGCAAACGAAGTTAAGTTAATCATTCAAACTCAAGAAAAAACGCCTCGTCGTTACGTAAACGTACTAACACGACACGAATTAGAGGCTTCCTTTTACACGCGACCTCGCAGTTCAACGGAGCAAAACGACAGTAATTAATGTCAATCTAAGTTAAATTAATAACTCAAAACTCAAATTAGGCCTCTTGTCACGTAAAGCTCAAAACAGACACTCAATTCGAGGCGGTCTTAACCGGAACCAAATATTCGATAGTAAATTCAAAACGACGCGCACAATTCTTCACCACACGGACCGCGCCCGACCAACTCACGGTCGCAAACAATACTATACGATGGCCCACGCGTCGACCAACCGTCGTGGCGCTCAACGCCTCGGCAAAACCAGTCCCGTTAATCGCCACATTAGGTGACCGGGCGTGAGCGGGGGAACGCGCGCGGGGAAGAGAGGTCCGGCAGCGACCCCTGTTACCATCGGACGCGAGCGCTCGTAATGCAGTTTTAAAGATTAACATTTAGCGCAAACATACATACTTATCTGAAATAAACTTTAAATCACTTTGACAAAGTAAATATATAAATAATGACAGCGTTTCTTAGTCACATTCAACAAAATTTATTAGATTATTTTGCCGAATTTTAGATTGCCGAAAACAACGCGGTTTACATAACAAAGAACTAGTCTTCTTCCTTGCTCGCAGTCGACTAAAGGAGTTACAGAGAATTGACAATAACTTGGTACGCAACTTATTAAAACCGCAGAGCCCATCTAGTAGTACATACAAGTTTTTGTATAAAGTTTATATAAGGTTTATATATTAAGTAAGCTGTATTTCATTTTCAATCGCAAATTAATATATAAAACACAGATATCTTATATACAAAATATGAAGAAGAAAAAAAACGCCTTCTTTGACACTTTTTTTATAGGAAAGTGGACAAACGAGCATGCGGCTCACCTGATGGTAAGTGTATACCACCGCCCATGAACAACTGCAACACCAGGAGAATTGCAGATGCGATGCCGGCCTTTTAAGAACGAGTAGGCTCTTTTCTTGAGAAAAGTTGCCTGGGAGAATTCACAAGATGCCTTGTTTATTTTCTGTGACCTTTCCAAGGCTTTCGATTGTGTTCATCATGAGACATTAATCAGGAAACTACAACATTACGGTGTAAAAAATTTGGCGCTTTGACTTATTCATATTTAAGTAACAGAACTCAAAAAGTCGTAATCAATGGTAAAGGTTCCTCCGGATCGGTATTGGCCCATTCCTGTTCTTTTAATCTATATTAATGACTTACCTTATCTTGTATGGGACAATCACGATATAGTATTATTTGCTGACGATACCTCTTTAATTTTCAAACTCAAACGGCAGTCAATTTATGACGATGTAAATAATGCTCTATCGAAATTAGTAACTTGGTTTAACGCCAACAATTTGCTCTTAAACGGCAATAAGACAAAATGTATTAAATTTACAATACCTAATGTCAAACATGCGAAAACCAATGTGCTCTTAAATGGAGAGGAGTTGAGTCTTGTATATTACTATTGACGCGAAACTTCAATGGGGCCCCGATATATCTAAATTAGCAAGCAGACTTAGTTCTGCAGCATATGCTGTAAGAAAGATTAGAAGTCTCACAGATGTTGAGACAGCTAGGTTAGTGTATTTTAGTTACTTTCATAGCGTAATGTCTTATGGAATTTTGCTATGGGGTAATGTGACTGATATTGAAGCTATATTTGTTTTGCAAAAGAGAGTTGTACGGGCGATTTATAATCTAAATTGTAATAGTTCCTCAGAGAAAAACTTAAAGAAATAAACATATTAACTTAGGCATCGCATATATTTATGAAAATGTAATGTATGTATGTATGTAATGTATGTTGTAAACATTGAGTGTGTCGACGAGGGTTGCATACCTTATACTCAGAATCACCAAACGGTATTCGCTGAAGGTCATACAGGTTTACGCACCAAACTCGGCACATCCCTATGAGGAGGTGGAGGAAATGTAAGAGAATATCTCTAGAGCCATGCATTCCTCCAAAACCCACTGTTTAGGCCAAACAATTAACATCTGAAATTTGCATTCAACACTCGTGTCCGCCCGCTGACTTTGTAAAGCTCACCGTTGCCCCACTCCCGTTTGCGTCGCTCGGCAGTGGGCATGGGCGCTGAACGCGAGGGCGTTACAGTAGCTTGAGAGCAGCGGTACGGTCGATTAGCGTATTTTGGTGACCGCTGCATATATTTCGCGCGACCAGTTTTTTTGGTTTTGGTCTAGATTTTAAGTATTTGTGCGCGTTTAATTCGCTATTGAATTTGTGGTTTCGTGAAGACCGCCTCGGATTAGTTTGTCTAAGGTTGTGCGTGACAAGAGGCGGATTTTGAATTCTTAATGCGGGCGTAGTATTTAATATCGAACGAAGGAATTTAGTTTGTTGATTGTAACGCTGAACTTTGTGACACTAGAGAAGGTCGCGTTCGGTTCTAGAAATAACTTGTTGCTACGTGAAACAGAAGTGAAATTTGATCCACCGTTTATTAGTCGTGCCGTGTGTTACTTTTTTGATTACGATTAACGGAGATTTAGTTGAGTTTGAAGTTAGTTAAATGTACAATAAAGTTGATAAACTGAAATAGTGAAGTGACGTCAGACTTAAGTTCGGATAAAGTGAACTACCGCTTTTGGAGAGAAGCAGCGCTGGATCTGCGGTCCGACTTCAACGGTTAAGTCAGGTTACACATTGTACACACTACTACACACTACTTACATGCACCTCACTTATCACCTGACTGGTACCACGTGGTCAACCCTACTCCCGGAGATCGGTAACTTCTGCTTGCTTATTTGTCAGCCGTTTTAGAACATGTATCCATAGGCCATTTGGGCCCCGTCCTCTGTTGCCCGTCGATTGGATTACTCATGAGCCCTAGTCCAGTCAACCTTTGTCGGGGCAACTCAGGGCGTGAACACCCACTATACGGTGTTAATGGGAGACTTCAATGCAAAACTAGGCACAAGAGAGAACGGTGAGCTGAAAGTAGGGAAATTTGGAATAGGGCAACGGAACCCAAGCAGCCAGCAGCTGGCCGACTTCATGGAGAAAGAGGGACTCTTTATGATGAACTCTTTCTTCTAGAAGCGGCCCCACAGGAAGTGGACCTGGTCGAGCCCCGACGGTTCGACAAAAAATGAGATTGACTTCATTATGACGACCAGACGACAACTGTTCAGTGATGTCTCCGTGATCGCAAGAGTGAAAACTGGTAGCGATCACCGAATGGTTAGAGGCACACTTAACCTGAACGTTAAGATGGAGAGGCCTCGTCTAATGAAGTCAACGCTCCGCCCCCCTCGTGCTCTGTTCCAAAGTCCCGAAACCTTTCAGCTCGAGTTACAAAACCGTTTTCAGTGCCTAGAAGACTGCAATGAAGTGGACGATATGAATGACAAGCTTGTGGAAACTGTCCATGGGGTCGGAGCTAAGTTTTGCAAGACCCGCCGCAGAAGAACACAAAATCTCGCCGATCATACTCCTAATCTCATGGCTGTCAGACGATGAATGAGATGAAGTTACATTCTTCAACAGATTTGGTAGCTTACAGGCAACTGAACAGACAGATCTCCAAATGCATGCGGCAGGACTTACGCAACTTCAATACAGCTTGTATTGAAGAAGCGATCGAGCGGAACCAAGGCTCCAAAGT